TCGGTTGTTAAAATTAAAGCCAAATTTCCTAATTATAGACGGAGTACGAGTATTTCCATGCTAGATTGTTCGTATACGCAAAAGCTCCATTATTATTTTCCTTCACATTTTTAATTTTTGTTTTTTTTTTGGTTTTTTCTGTTTGTAGTTATTTTGTTAAGCAAGGATTTAATTTATACGGTTCGGGCTTTTTCATGCTACTGACAGACGATTTAGCGCTTAGCTCCGTGCCTTGTTAAATGGGAACCCAAGAAGCATATTTCGAATAGCAGGAAGCGGAAGCAGTTCAGTGGTGGCCATTTGCATTAGCATATTTTCGTTGCGCATAACATTTAAATAAAATGAGCAATTGGTCAATTCATTTAATTGCTGTTGTGCTCACAGAACCATGGATTTATTACGGACCTAAAACACAATCAAAGAATTCTAGCAACATTCCAGCTAACCGAGATAGAAATCTTAGTGCCGAAAAAGTCAACTTGTGTAATATTAGCACCAATTGTCATTTGCATATTAGCTGATGCACATATAAGACCACTTTCCAAAATTATATATAGACGTATTTTTGTATATTTTATACGTTAGGTGGTTAGGTTAGGTATACTCGTAATTTAGATTTAGTATACGTAACGTAATCGTAAATGCGTTAATATTTTGGGTTTTCAAATTATCAAATTATATTGTTAGGACATGCGAACCAAAGAGTTGCACGGCATGATAACAGCAGTTTATATTGCGATTATAAATGGGCCCGATAAGGAAATAAAATCACTAAAATTTATACTGATTGAAAATATTTGCGTTTGTTCGCATATAAACAAGTTCATGCTTTGCATTGATATATGAATTGTGAAAAGAGCCAGAGAACTCATAATTTCTGTTAACTGTACAGCTAACTTATTTATGGCACTGTTGAAATATGATACTTCATAAACTGATATTTGAAAAGTGTTTACACAACGTTGGTTATGAATGCATTCTATTTACCTAAGTACCTAAGTTACCTTCTGTTAAGTAAGTACTTATAACTGAGTACACTCAGAATAATAATTTGTATGATTTAAAATCACGTTAAAACTCAGGTTAAAAGATTTTTACACGACGTACCATATTGATTCCACTATACCACATTGTGGTTTTCATAACTAACAAAATGATCAGGTCAATTTAACTAGTATGTGTTTAATATTTTTCTGAGTGTACACACCAAAAAAAAATTATAATTTAGCGCGAAGCTGTTAAATGTATACGTTAAACTTAAATTTGAGATTAAACAAATATCGGCAAGGTAATAACTATACTAAATTCAGCACATCCCATTTTTACTAATCAGTGACTTCAATTTTGGACAATAATTTTTGATTAACAGATAATTGATTATTAAGATTTGTTTACTTAAGACAAAGTCTAGAGCAAATAAATTATATCAATCGTATAACGAAATTGAATGATGACATAGAGTCCCTTTTTACTATAATAAGTGACAATTTTCTAAAGTTAACTAATAGATGATGTTATTAATACGCCGAAATTGTTAGAGTAAATGCAACTCAGCGAAAATCGATTATTTGTACCAAAAATATTTCAATCTAAATTATTAAAGTCTGACACGTTTAGGTATAATATCATATAAAATTTCGTAACCTAATATATTATGTTTAACTTGAATATACCACAAAAATGATATTAATTGTGAGCATTATATCTACAAAAAAAAGGAGAAAAGAACATAATACAAAGTATCTTAATAATACTTTAATGTTCCATGAAAGTAATAAATGCCAATGCAATATGATCTCATTATAACTAATAAAAACGTAAAGCATAAAATACTTACTTTTACAAAAGTTAACTTTAAGAGTTAGTAAAATTATTTGTTAGGGTTTTGAGATCTCAACTCACTAGAGCATTCATTGCTTGAAATTAAAAAATAAAAACTATAAAATTAATTTATTTATTAATATTTGAATTAAGCAGCTCATATAATCAATCATGCTGTAGTGCTCTGCTTTGGTGGGAGCGGTACCCCGTTTATTCATACATAACTTCAATTTATTTATCATTTTTCTGCATAAATACAAGAAATAAAACAATATTAGACTTAAAATAACTTTAGTGGAAATTTAAAAGTATTTACTGAAGTTATTATTTATATTGTAGACCTAATAATAAAAATATTGTAGATTATCGACTTTCTAATTTTTCACGGTCTATCCCAACGCCTTCTTCCTCCAACTACTGCTTCAAATACCTTTTCTGTTGCAGCATCATCATCCATTTTCACGATATGACCAAATCAGCGAAGCCGCTGGATGTTAATTTGCTAAATCATATTAATGTCGTGATAAAGCTCATTCAGATCGTAAATATTCAGATCTGATGGTCCTCTCCAACTCGTAGAGGACCAAAAATCTTATAAAGAACTTTTCTCTAGAACAATCCCAGTGTTATTTCATCATTCTGTAATAACGTCCATACATCTGCACCATACAGAAGCACAGGAAAGATCGAGAAAAAGCTATGTATCTCAGAGTATCTCTGATAGCTCCTATCAACAATACTCTTCGTCTGATCTCTAAGTTGACATCATTGTTGTCATGAAAATCTTAACAGATTTGAAAGTATAGTTGCCAGCCACTACCTCGTCATCCGAACGACGTGGTAATATAAAACGGAAATATTAATAAAATTTTATATATTTAAAAACGTAATTTAACAAGTTTGTTCCAAACGACTATTGTTCGCAACTATTTTTTAATAACTGAACTGGTCTTCAATTAAAAATTGACATAAAAAGACTTTCTGGTAATTTTTTTAATACAAGATTATTACTTTTGTGGTCCCAAAATTAAACGAAAATGAAACATACTTGTATATGCTTGTATACTTGAAATTTTGTTTGAACTTTCACAGGACATCTGGATCACAGTACTAGATCTTATTGAGGTAATTTGTAATAACTTGTTGACATATAGCGGATATTAGCTGGGTCATTACTTAATAAAAGTTTGTTTTTGAAATATCGAGAATTTGAGTATTGTCCGCATATATATGATTGTTTGTTAAGACCATATTCCAATTCTGACTTATTGTGAATATAGTCGTTCGATAACGCAATCGACATTGTTAAACGATTCATGTTATAAGGTGGCAAAAATATAGCTAAATGCATGATATATTGAATGGTAGTTCTGTTTGACATACCTCTGCAACTGAAACAGTGCTGTCAAATCAAGCTCACGAAAAAAATAACTTGTTATAAATATATACAACATATGATATGCTATTCAGAAATAAAAATCTCAATCTGAAAACTGATTAACAAATACTTTGAACGTCACTTCTATATGGTTGTGTGGCGTTTAGCAAAGCTTAAAATACTACTATTCGCCAGCTAGAAATTGCACAAAGCCAGGGTCTGAGAAGACTTTTTAAAGTACCATGGTACATTAGAACGAATGACATCTTTATGGACCTCAAGATTGATCCCATCAAAAAATACATAAAGAATAGAGCCCTGAAATTATTTCCGAAAACTGACAGACTTATCAACATAGCGTTATCAAATCTCAGAATGGTTACAAGCTCCTCGGGGAGGTATGCAGATCAGAGATCAATTGTTGCTTAGTCTGATAGAGTGATAAACAATAATCCAGTCAAGGTATAAAAGGGGTAAAAATGCTCAAGTGCACTGGCTCAAATAGCTTGAACATAATAATAATATGATATGCATGGTACAATTAATCATACAAGGCAAAATCGAAGGAAAACGCAAAATTGGGTGAAAAAAATTTTCTTTCTTAAAAAATATTAAACAAGGGAACTGAATGCAAAATATTAGTAACCTTATAGATGCGACCAGAAAAAGGGAGGAATATTCAGAAATAATCATAAATTTATAACTTTGCGTATATAAAAACTTGTTATGTTATGTTAAGCCTTTTCCGAGTTAGTGCATCTGGGCACTTTTACTCTATGATAGCTGGGGGATTCTGCAGAGTCCCGCCCATCTCACTGACTAATTTAAGTATTGCTGATATTTTGTATGTCTTTTAAACGACAAATAGTCCAATGTATTTTTAAAATTATACTTATAATGTGATATGATCACCTGTATTCGAAATCGAATTTCCAAATAAGGAAAATGACATGCATTTATATAATGATTGAATTTTTTGTGGTAAACTATATGTACAAAAAATTGTTATTATTATTTAGTTAAAATGGTGTACGATATCACTTAACGAAAACCTCCTTATCATTAATCGAAGACCTCATTTAATTATCGTGTTCATTTTTAATCGTTAGTGTGGAGTTGTGTAAGGCACCCTTTGAATTCAAGACCTCCTTTAATTATCGTGTTCATTTTTAATCGTTCAAGTTGAGTAAGGTATCTTTTGAATGATTTATATAATAAATAAATTTTTTACACATTTATTTACATTTACACAGTTAAAAAAAAAACAGTATTTGAAATTTTCGGTTTAAATAAAAGTTAAAACAAAAATGGATCGATAAGTATTGAATTTTATATGATAGATTTGTGCTTTATTTAAATTTGTGTAATATGATATTCTCTTGTTTTCTTATAAGTCGATAAATTTTTCAGAAACTATTTCTACAATAACAAAAAACTATAATTAAAAACTCTTAATTGCTGATTATTTGTATCAAACATTTTCTGATCTTTTAAAAAAACATTTCATTTCTAATTGTAGATACCAAAAAAAAAAAAATCGGAAAAAATTCGTGGAAAAAACGTAAATTAAAAGTCATATACAAATTTGGTGAGCAACATTGCCGGATTGTTTCGAATACACAGACGTTTGCGAAGTAAGAAGAGCGCATTACGGTTCCAGTATTAGTAACTGATTTCAGTTCGGACGGCATCAGTCATAAACTCCGCCATAAAACTTCACTAATTTTATTACATTTTTTGATAAAAACACAGCGATTAAAGCCCATTAAATTTGTAACTTTGCTCAGTTGAAGCGGTTGAATCGGTAGAATCGCTGAAACTACAGCAACCGGCAAGCTGAGCAGCTGTGAAACTGAGCGACGAAGTGGCCGAACTAGCGAGTGACACACTTGGATACGCTATACGCTGACAGTTAAACAAACCGTCGCAATCCCAAACCGACCAGTGAAAACTTGGAGTATGCCACACACAGGTGAGAGACGAGCATTTAGATTTATTGGTAGTTGTTCAAGATTTAGTAGAATTTAAGTAATACTTAAGTTATTTAGACTTAATTAACGTATCACAATTTCAAGTTAGACTCACACAGACCAGTACAGATCACTTGAGGTTTTTGTATTATTTTATGATAAACACGTTTAGATACTGTGGAGATTCTTCTCTTTATAACTGAATTTAATTTTTTATTATTTTACGGCTACATTAAAATAAATAAAATTAAACGAACTCAAATAGTAAAATTAAATAAATAAAAATAAAAAGCTGAACTTTGAAAGCATTGAGAACACACTCGATCATTCAAATATTATATATGAAACATTTTTATTGGTCACATTTTATTTCAAGCCAATCATATGACGCGGCCGTGCTCCATTGAAGTGCAGCTAAAAGTGCAGCTTAAAGTGCAGCTTAAAGTGCACGTGTACATCGAAACATGACCGGTGCATTTACATAGTGCAAGGGGCTAAGCCACTACATTTGAAACTGGTAAAATTCGCACTTCATTTGCGTTGGCAAGTTTCTTGCATTTTTGTTTTTTTTTTTTTTTTCTTATCTTAATATAAAAGATATTTTATGTTTTTATTTCCTTTTCAAATTCCATGTTTTTAAGTGCGAACAAAACCTTAAGTTAAATTTAAAGTTGCTTTCACGGTTATTAGTTTTATTGACGCCAGCCTTATTGTTTGGCCGAAATATCGTTTACGACGCACTTCAGCCAACTTAAGCTGCCTGTAATAAAAAATATGTATCTTCAGGGACGCGGTATTATTTCGAGAACAGCGGCTCAATCGCCGTTTTATTTTATGTCCGCGAAAATCGTGTTTGAAGTAAAAATAAAAATGAACCAAAAATTACAACTTTTAGGATGAGGTCAAAAGTGTTAAATGCCTTACACGATCTTCATGGCGAATATTAAAAACTTTTTACTGTTATATTAGTGTATTATTGCCGAACTTTTCAAAAATTAATTATTATAAAATGAAAGATACTAGCGTACTCATTCGTAATGTAATTGAGTAAAATATGAGTAGGTTAATATTAGTTACTAATAAATTTCATCTACTCACGACTCTTACTGCATAGTAATCTTACCGCATGTAATATATACACCTAGTAATGAAAGAAACCATATAATTTAGTATTTTAACTATTAATTAATGACACTAAATTGGTTGTGCCATTAAAGTTTGCAATATTACTGTGTTTTAAATTACGATTACTTAAGATAATAATTTTTTGAGAAATCACATTCTGTGCAAGAGGCGTCTTGAATTTATAAATGTGAAAGTTGCCACCATAATTTTTATTTGTAAATTGGTAGCACTGCCTTGTATTACCATGCAAGACTTCAGCCCAACCTATTCGTATTACCCAGTCTATTCACAACACCTTTTTTTGTAATTATACTTTTAAGCGTATTGTGATGACGCAAAGTCATGTAATCAACGTGACTCCGTGACTTTGACTTTGTTCTGATCCTGACGTCAAAATTGCTATTATATTTCGATGAAAGATATGAAACAATAGCTATCAAAAAATATATAATCGCTATAGGAGTTGCAGGTTAGATCAATATACAAAAAATGCAGGAAGTATTAATTCAGGTGTCAGTATAATTTGTAATATTGTGTATCGTATATATATTGTATAAAAAAAAAAAAAAAATATATATATATATATATATAAATATGTATTATTTGATTCGATATATAATACATAAGCTAGATGTTTTTATAGTCAATGTAATACTATGCTTATTACATACTAGCGTTATTATATATAATTTTCATCTTACATGAATTCTAGTCTATATATTTAATGCCGTGATACTAGGTGTCTCGGAATGATAAAATGTATAATTGCTTAAGAACTTAATACTATATTTTCATGATTACACATTATTGTAAAAACAATGGGAGTCTATATAAAATAAACTATATTTACTGAAATGATATTCTTTCTTCCAACAATCTGGGTAAATGGTTTTTGAGTTATATTCTTGAAATTCCAATTATGCTGACTTTATAGTTAACATATATCGAAACGTTTAGGTCCTTTCCATTAAAAGTATTTAGTAGCTTATCTATTATAAAATAACACAATGATCAATGTGGCTGGGGAATATAATTTAAAACTAATTTCCTCTTATTTTTAAGCATTGTGATCAATTGTTGCAAAGGGAATATAATTTATAAGTAGTAATAAGACAGTTCTTAGAATATTCTCAAGCATTTTTAAAGTTTTATATTCAAATTTCCCTTTCTGGAATGTCTTATTATAGACCACATTTACGCTTTATTTTAAATGTTAGTATTTGCAATAACTTCATTCTTTGTTTTTTTTTTCTATTCTCAGGGCAAGCTGGTGTTAATCAACTGGGTGGCGTTTTTGTCAATGGGCGACCACTACCAGATTATGTACGCAGAAGAATTGTGGAACTCGCGCTTTGTGGTGTTCGCCCTTGTGATATATCACGTCAATTATTGGTTTCACATGGTAAGTTTTGTTTATTTTTTTGCTTATTAAATGTCATCAAATGTATTAGGGAGTATAGAGATGAGGTAGTTTATTTTGTGGATACAGATTGAAAAAATAAAATCAAGTCCTAAAAATTATTAAATAAATTAAGTAGGTCATAGACTGTTAATGTTACACTGCATTTGAAATTATCTACTAAAATTAAATTATACTAATTATTAATTTAACTGCTGCACTTTATGCGGTGCATAAGCTTAAACAAATACATTAAAATAAGCAAATGTCAAAGTGCTAGCTAACAGCACGAAGGTGAGAAAAAAAAATTGTAAATAAATATGGAAATACAAATTCTTTCGCTAAAGCAGAGAGCTATAGTATTTGTTAACAATATTTAATAAATGAATTAACTAAATAATTTCACTACCAATTTCTTTATGCGTTTTTTATACGAACTAATAGATCAATTCTTTCTAATGTCAATTAAATTTCAAAAATGAAACTGTGAAAAGGTATGAAATAATTTATTTATTTATTAATTACATTTAAAAAATTATTATTAATTAATGAATAACGAAGCATTGTGCTAAAAGATCTAAGCCAAGCACTTGTCGGTCATAAAGTTTTAAGAGGTCTTATAAAGCAATGCGTTTTTTGCGAAAGACCAATGATATTGGGTTTTTGGTAATACTTGCAACAGATATATGGTCAAACAAAGAACTACAAATTTTAAATAAAATATAATTTTTTAATTGCAAATCGATTTGTTAGAACTTTTTTATTTAAAATACTTTTATTAACCGATATTTCCATTATAGAACCAGAGAATGGTTCTATACTCATCTGCAGAATACTTATTGGGCAACAGCACAATTGATCGTTTTTGGAGTAATCCACCATTTATATTTTGCATAAATACATATATCGAATCAAATCACAACTTATCTATATAAAACTGCTGTTTATTTCAAGTTAGTCTTGCTACTCTGGCAAAATATCTAAAGTATTATAAAGCAATCTTGAGTGCTATACATTTCGCTCAAGATTTACCAATATAAAATGAAAATTGCAGTAAAAGTGAATCTCGATTGAAAAGTTACCCCATATCTACAAATCAAAAACGACATTAGGATGACAAAAATGTATAAAATTAAAACAATTATTTAAACAATTATTTACTAACAATTTCTTAGATAAATATTTATGTGAACGTTTTAGATATAAAAATATTCACAAATAAAATTTATTAATATATAATTTATAATGCAATTTTTTTTTCGGTAGGTTGTGTTTCCAAGATATTAACTCGTTTTTATGAAACTGGATCTATACGTCCTGGATCAATCGGAGGCAGTAAAACTAAGGTATGACATTATAATATATTTAAAATTTTCTAAATGTTATAGATACAATATAAAGAGCTTAATATCGCCGGTATAACCTACGGATGTGTATTATTATTAAAAAGAACTGCGACCTAAAAGATCTATTGTGTCCCTTATTCGGATTATTCGATTTCTTTAATGAAAGACAGTATGGAGCTATTCTTCATAGTCTTGAATCCTTATGAGCCATGAAATACCCTCCTAGGTGTTTCTTTTGAATGTACATCAGGGCCGAGCACTCCCCAAACACATGGTATGCAGTTTCTCTCTCTTCTCTACAGTATCTGCAGTCTGAGTTTAATTGAATTCCTAACTTCGATAGGTGATTATTCAATCTACAGTGACCGATCAATAATTTCCTAGTAATTCTTAGGTTTTTTTTTTTTGATTGTGCTATGCAATCTTTGAAGCGTTATAGGTTGTAAGTCCCTAAAAGCATTTTAGATTGTGAAAGGCTTGGTATCCTTTTCCAATAGAGTTCTAATTCTTTTTTCTCTGTGCCGTTCATATGTATCTATCCTAATATGTAAGACTAAAAATAATTTTTTTCAAAGTCCTACTATATTTTGGTCAGTCATTGCTAGTGACGTTACTCAATTCAGTGACGTTTTTAGCGTCAAATAAATTGTTGCTACTTTGAAAATAAAGTCTAATTATCTGCTGTCATTTACCATAAAACTATTAATACTTGTTTTTGTTTTTTTGTGTTTTTTATAATGCAAATCACTACACTGAAAGCTGATTAATAACATTTCATATTAACTTTCATTATTTTATTTATATATTGTATGTAAATACATTTTGAGTATATATTTTTGTGTAGAACCTGACATGACATTCACTGAATGCTAAACAAACACTTGTGTAGGTATTTCACGTTCTTTTTTCTTTATATGGCCGGTGCTACTGTTACAAATCAATCTCATTTATTAAACGCGATAAGGTGCTGCGATTAGCAGGCGAATCCTGTTCGTCAGCTGCTCTTGAGTGTTCGAGTTCACACGCGTTCTCACAATGAATGCAGCAATCGTAAATTACAACAAACATAATCCCAACGGAACGTACATTTTATGGTCGTAGAAGCTACCGCTTTCAGTACGTAATCTGAACAAGCCATGATAAACGTTTATCACTTATAGACACTGACATGTTCAGGCCTTACCATATACTAAATGCACATAACAATTTTTCAAGTGCAAACTACACTTAAGCCATTACATCATAGCGAATACAATTTTTTCTTGTTTGTTAAATTACCAAATTTTCCAAATACCATATGTAAATACACTGCTGTCTAATTCTAACCCATAGGTAACAACTTATAAGCACCCATTAAATGCTAATGTTACCTGTTCTATTTGCTATTATTTTGTACTTTCCTTGTTTTTTTTTTTCTATTTTTTTAAGATAATAATCAATCAAAATTGTGTACGTTTGGGATTCACGCCAAACTATTAATATTCAATAATGATACCCACCACTCCATTAGCTTCTTGCACTCTGCACCCACGCTTCACCGTAGTATACCCAAGTACGTACGAGTATTACATATGTATGCCGAAGAACCTCTACGGTTAAAGTTTAAAACAAAACGCGCATTTAACACCTCCATTTTCCATTTAGCACACAAAGAACGCCCGTAGAAGCAGTTGAAGAGCGTGTATGGCGCTGATAAGGATCTTACGTGAAAACAAAGGCCGTAATTTGGGCACTAAATATGCGATATGCGGCGATTGCGATATAATTTCGTATCCTGCTACATACAATAAAACGAGTTAAATAAATTTATGAATTTTTAATGAATTGCTGCGTCACACGTTATGTTAAACTTTATTGCCAGTACGGAGGGCAAGGAGTGTGAGTTCATATTCCTATTTAGGGTAACTTTCATGACATTTTTGATTTTTTTTCTTTAGATAACCAAAATTCTAATTTTATAAATTTTACATTTATTTTATAATCATTATAATTTTATTATTGTAATGTTTTATTTGAAAATGTAGAAAATGTTGGTATCTGATATAGGTTTTAAGATTCCATATTTGTTTTTTATTTACGAAGTCAATATCTTAGAACTCATAGAAGTTCTCATATATAATGAGCGCACCTGTACTTTAACAACACTACATTGATTTTTATTTATGTTCATTATCAATTAATATGATACTTTCCTTCTCAGATCAGATTTCGTAATTATTCTGAATAAATATATTCACGATCTTGAGTAACGAGCCCAGTGATCGAACAATATAGTAACACTGTAAAGTGTTAACAATAAAATACATGTATTCAATTAATATATGCTGTTCTGCTTCTCGGATTAGATTTTATTGTTCTATTTTCGTAAATTATTTGGAATAGATGTATTCACGATCTAAAGTAAGAAGTAATTCAAGTAATACAAGTTACTATGACATTAGGTTACCGAGCTCGTTACGCTAGACCGTAATATTAAATGAAACTAGGTAAATAATAGTAAAGAAATAAAAAATTGATTTAATTACTGAATATTTTAACTAGTCATACAGTTGTTTCATTCTATTAAGAATCCATTGTCAGTGTCCTTGGTTTTATATAGGTTTCCAAATTGTAAGCTGTCCGGTTAAAACTTCAAACCTAACATATTTAAAAGACTGTATGGTATGTGGCGTTCCCTATATTTTTTTTAATCTTTCAGTTAATCTGTACTATTTTAATATTATTCAACTTCTTTAAGTAGGCAAATAAAGTGTAAATGGACTGTCATGCAACCCTGAATCAAACATTTTTCGGCATTATTTATTTATTGACTTAGAAATATTTTTGTTCGTCTCAAAATAAAATGTTCACTATAAGTTTTTACTGTCAATTGCCAGTATTTTATTTTTAATTTACTAGAGAGCGAGCAAGTGAATAGAAATCTTTCAGCTAAAAAATAACTCAATTTTTTAACAAAAATATTCCTTCAATTGCTTTTGGATCTCAAAGAGGAGCTATTTGTTTTTCAAGAGTAATAGAACGAAGTGACCATTAGTATGTGTTTTGAGTTCTATTATTTGGCGTCAAATTTTTCTTGGTTGAAATTATGTAGTAAAATATAACACGAGTACCTGACCATGAAAAGTCGAATTTTTCCTTACTCGGTAACACAATAGATTTAAATGGGTTCCTTTAGATTAATATATAATAAGTAGTATTGAATGATATCACGTTGATGATAACCATAAAACTCTGGAAGCATGGTGCTTCTATTCATTTAAAAATGGACTTCAAAAACTTTACTATTTTATTTTTTTATTGTAAATATGAACAGAACAAAAACAACACAAAGACTTTCCGAATGCGTGCATATCTAACTCCGATCGAGAACCAAATGCTAACGCCATTATAAATGCAGTAGAAAGAGCAAATGAATTTATTTGGAATATTGAAAAAAATTTGAGCTTATTACAAGGCTTCGGACCGAAAATTTTTGCATTCTAGTTTTCGTTCCGGTTTGAAACAAAAAAAAAAAATTGCGTGGGTTCCAATTTTAGTTCTAGAAAAAATATCGGGTTTTTTCGGTTTTCGGTTCGGTTCCGGTTCGAAGCCTTGTATTTTAGTTTTAAATTAAATGATTGAGTTAACATATGTTTCGTGCAAATATTTCTTATTAAAAGCATAATTTAAATCAATTTAAAGTATATTTAAAAAAATAAATAAATATATAATCAACAATAAAAGAGAAGTTCGCGCAAATGAACAGATACCAAACTAAACCGAAATAAACTGATATATTTTTTTCGGTTCGGTTCCGGTTTTCATTCCAGCAAAAATATCGGGTGTTTTCGGTTTTCGGTTCGGTTCCGGTTCGAAATCCTGCCTTATTGTAAATTTTTCGCAACCCATCGTTCACAACTCACAACATATATATTATTTTTCAACAAATGCAACCGATAAAAAGTAAGACTGCACTACTTACATATCCAATCAAAAACATACTGTATCTCTAACAATCTCTTAAGGTTGAAACTTGTACTGGGCGTGCAGCTTTTGTCAAGATAACAACCGGCGGATACCGAATTTTATAAAAAAAAACCCAAAACACTTGCTCGACCACTCGGCACGTATTAAGGCGGTGGCGCTTAAGTCTCAGACAAAGCGATAAATAATACACCGCATTCGAAAGGGGATAACTGGTAAATTTACAACAACATAATTCGCTGCAGTTGCGTGTTGCAATTGCATTTTGCATTGTGCTGACACAATTGAATTTCACGCTTTTTAATTGACTGCCTTGCACGCCACATTTACAACAATCGCAGCAAACAGTTTTCGAGGGGTCCGCACGTGCAACATTTTTTCTTTTAAGCAAAAATAATTTTTTACAATAATAAACAACGCTAAGAGATGCAATTTTAACACTATAATTTTTTTCCATGTACTTACAGCAAGTTGCCACGCCCACTGTCGTCAAGAAAATCATACGCCTCAAGGAAGAAAACAGCAGCATGTTTGCTTGGGAAATTCGCGAACAACTCCAACAGCAGCGCATTTGTGATCCTAGCTCTGTACCATCTATTAGTTCCATAAATCGTATTTTACGCAATAGTGGACTTTGCACGGATGAGATGACCAGTCAGCAAAGTGCCGCTGCGGCGGCTGCTAATCAAATGTGCTCAGCAGCATATGTAAATCCTGCTCATATATATGTGAATGCAACTAGTAAGTCAACAGCGGCTAGTGAAACTGCAACTACTGGACATCTTCAAATTACAACACTACCTACACATCCTGCCACAATACCAACACATTTGTCTCCTCAAACACATCCACACAGCATGAGTTTGCCGCCGCATTTTCGTTACAACTCTGCGGTTAATAATTCTGTTCTACTGGGCGATCATGGAAAAACAGTTGCTGATATGCCCATCAAACCAGCACCAAAGCTAGCAGCTTCGTTATCATGTAGCAGTGCCGCTTTGGCTGCATCCACATCCACGGCTGTTTCAGGACAATTGCATGCGCAAGATCTTAGTTATTCGACATTCCCAAAAAATTGGCTATGGAACTCTTCTTTGTTTTATTACACCCAAGTGCAGGCTGCAGGTCAATTCTTACCATACTCACATCCACAAAATGCGAGCTTCTTTGGCACAAAATCTGAAAGTTCTATAGATTTGACATCGCCCAGCGGTGCCGATACACTTAGCGACTGTGATTCTGGTAAATCATCGCCAGCAACATCGCTTAAAAGTTCTCACACAAGCTCTGAATCAGTTCCAACAAATATCACAAATTATCGTAAACGCAATCCCTATTCCATTGAAGAACTGCTTAAACCCGAAAAGCGACAAAAACTTGAGTTAGAAAATAAAAAGCAATTAAATGTGGATGACTTGAGTATGAAAAAAGAAGACGAGGTTTGCGGCAACAGTTCGGTTTCAAGCGGTAGCAGTTCATGTGGTGATAGTTGCGACGGCGTGCGCCCATCAACTGAGGAACCAAATGAAACTGCGGATTGTTGTGAAAACTTGGAAGTTGTACACTAAGAAAATTTTGTAAAATAATATTGAGCGGATATCATAGTATTTTTGTTATAAATATTTCGGCCTCATTTTTAAGTCCTTCGAAAAGAGTTTAAAACAAAACAGAGGCTATAGGACAAGTTGAATAGCTGAGCTATTCACCTGAGACTTATGCATTTGGTATTATTTGCTGATGATATATATTTAAATATTGAATTATATATTATATTTATTTATTAAATTTTTATTTGCTTATCTACTTAACTGATATATACCTAACAATTAATTCGCTTTTATATAAAAACCATGTGAAATATACGCTGTAGTTAGTTTTTAAGTAAACAATTTGTTTTAAAATTATTTATTATTTAGTGAATTAAGTATTTCAAAAATAAAATTAATAAATTTAACAATTCTAGATGTTTTATTTTCACTAAAAGAAGATTAATACTCGTAAATAAACTTTTGAAAAGTTAGAAAATTTAATAGCCCAAAAATCTCAAATACAATAACCGTATTTTTTTCCTTCAGAGTAGCAAAAAAAATGCTCGCAACTTACGAAAGAAAGCATATGAAGCAACAACAATACTCTTAAAATCTTCAGAGTTAGGTTTTACTCTCAAAAAAATTTTAAGTCTTAAGTTTCAATGCAACCAAATACAAAAATCAGTCTATTGTAAATGTTCTTTATGAAATATAGTGCAATATAGAGAACGAAATCCAGAGCATAACATTTAGATATTGATTTTATTAATATTAATTTATGTTAGATCCTGATCCTGATGATGACGCTCAAGAAGAGTTGAAATAGAAAATATATTATAAAATATTAGACAACCGTTGAATTTTAATTTTAACAAAAAGTGACCTATATCCGGATAAAAAAAATAAATATAAACTATTATTTTAAAAAAATAGGTCGATGAATAAATTAAAAATTGAAAAATATTTTTAATATTTTAAATATAAAAAAGTTTAGAAAAAAAATATATTGAAATTACTTATATCATTTACACAAATAAATATAAAATGGGATATTAGTTTTGTCAAAATAGTTTGTCAAGTTGTTTATCACGTATCAAAGAAAACATCGTAGAGCATAAACCATAAATTATTTAAATTCTTCATCAGTCGACGAGTTGAGTTTATTCAGCCCTGTCCATCTGTCATCTAATCTCTCAGGTTTTGTTTTATTGAAATGAAAGTTTTTCGCATACTTCTCGGGAATGGATATTGAGCATTTGATAGATTGGTCGAAATTGGACTACTACTCCTATAGCTGACGTAAAAATCAAAAATTCGGATATAGGTTTTAGCCCTTTTTAATAAAGACATTCAAATAAGATTTGTTACAGAAGGTACTTATAATTATTAAAGATAATACATAAAATTTTATTCATATCGGTTAAAGATATTGCTGTCATATAAATTGAAAATACTCTTGATAAGAAACTTTTTATTTTTTGATGAATGTACCTCAATTTTGGAACTTAAATATAGTTTAAAGAACACAGTCTGTGTAATAAAAATGGAGGTTTAGCCATAGGTAGAAATTGTATATAAACTTTACTTTTCAATACATTCGGTTTCATTTTATAGTTTAGATATCTGCATGTTTTATGCGATCTGCGACTCTAATAATCACAATACCAATTTTTACCAAATAAACTTTTAAACAAAGTAAAAAGAATATCATATGTTGGCTATTACCAGATTAAATTATATGTATGAAATGAGGTTCAGAGCTCTAACTTTATTGATACACCAAATATCATACACTAATTAAGTTAGTTCTAACTAACTAAAAACGTTGTAAGACGTTAGTAAAACAGGGCTGAGGGTACTGGAAAGTGAGAAAGTGGTTTACATTACCTGTGTTATCATCGTATCAAGTTGAGTCTATCTGAGAACATAATATGTTAATTCTACATGGAAGTTACTATACTTTAAGTCAAATTCATTGTGGCATCCTAGCTGACCTCTCCTCTCCTAGCAGGAGAGTACTGACCTTAAATCTAGGTACTCAAATCAAGGTTAGAAGAAAATCAAGAAATAGTTTAACAAATTTATTCCAATTTATTTTAAAAGATTAAATGTGTTACTAACACATTTGTGTGGCTGCTAACAAAAAATATTTAGTATGGCCATAGTCTTTCGCTTCACTGTGAGTTCGGAATCCTCTAAGTTGTCCATCATTCTATTTAGTATTTAGTATTGAATATGAATAGACTTCAAGATATATATGTACTAGTGTTTGCTTTGATTATCTCTAATCTTTAAATTTTTAAGGCTTATATGTAGAATTTTTTACATTGACATTTCGAAAACGATTTTAAGTGTCTAATTTCTATGACAATATGTAACCATTTATCGTTTCCAGACCAAAATTACCACTATGCGGTAATTATTTCGAGTCATTTGAGTCCATATAAGAAAGTTAGCAGAGATTGGCAAAGGTCAGAACTTTGTCAACATATCAAAAGTGTTTTGAAGACTGGAAAAACCGTTGGCATTTGTGTCAAGCACAAATCATAGACCAATTTCAATTTTACCAATCATTTCGAAGCGCTTTGAAAAGCTATTCTAAAAGAGACTAATGCCTATACTAGAATCCGAAAAGCTAATACCAAACTGTATATACCTATATCTAAATTGTTGAGTTATAATTAATTTGTTGATGCAATATATCTAATATATTTTATTTATTTGTTAGTTAACACTGAAACTAATTTTAAAGTATAAATAATGTATATATACATATAATTTTATTAATAGCATTACAACAAAATTTTTTCTAGCTTAAAATTCTTCTCTCCATCGTTTATAGCTTTTGCATTCCTAAGTGCACATACAGACTTGGTGGTCCATGTTCCAGTGCTGCCTTACTCAAGCACACTGTGCATGAAACGTATCAATCGTTGTTGCGCTTAATTAACTTAAGCAACGCGCCAATGAAGTGTCAACTTTCAAGATACTTACAACAAAAGTGGCAACTACAACTGCATAACAGCAATAACAGCAACAATAACACAAGTGTTAAAATTACCTGCATGAACATAAATGCGCTTGCAATCGCCTCACCTTCATTTTGTCAACTGGAATCTGCATTGTGCATTGTGCATTGTGCATTGTGCACTGCAATGGGCACAAATGTGGTCGCCATCGTTCACTTATTTGGCAAGTTGCTCACAGTGCATTCTCATTTGCTGAATTGACTACTTGATGTATTTTCTATCCACGATTGCTCTTAACGAATTGGAAAAGTATTTAGACGCAACGAACGTGCATGGAATATTTATATTTAGTCAAGCACTGTAGAATCTGAAGGTGCAAAATTAAGCGCGAAATTCCAATGGAACTAAGATAAGAGAGGTCGCAGATAAGAATTTTTTAAATTTAATGATTTTAAACTGTGGTAAATGAATTTGCCAAATTTATCCAAAATAATATATTATATATTAGCTCTCTAAAAGAATTAATCTATAATTTATTCACTCTTCCATTTCTTGACGATTCATCTTTTAAATAATGAATTCAGTGAAGAATTGTACAACTACCTATTCTACTTAAATCTGTCAATATATTTATCTCCAATAATTTATTTATTATGACTGATATTATTACGAACCCAGATATCTATGCATAATTTTATAGATATTATTGCGCTCTATAGTCTTACTTAGACTAAATACGTATATAAGAAAGTAAGAAGTTTTCTATATTACACATTCATATGAAACTTCGACTCGGAATTATACATAAATGATTTCTATAATATATATTATTATTATTATTATCTGATAATAATAATAATGTTATTCGACTTCCCACAGGATTTCACATTGGACATTGCGGCGTCAAAAAACATCTATCGAATCTAGGTATTATAAGGAACGGTAGCTGCAGTCTTTGCCACGAAGAAGAGTAAATGGCAAAACACATTCTGTTTCACTGTCATTGTCTCACCAGATTCAGACTTCGGTTCTTATCAACTACCTATCCATTTATAACGGAATTTGGCAACATCTCTGCAAGGGACAAAAAGGCATATTTAACTGTTACCTACCTATGGAACTAAAGTGGGTTTGTCACAATAATCCTAAGAGGCAATTTTGCCGTTTGCGAATATATGGTGTTATAATCATATTTGAATTCAAACTATATTAAAACTTTCAAATATGCTTAATATGGCAACGTATTTAGTGACTGAGAAAACTTTTATAAAATTAGTTTTAATAAATTCATAGAACTTTTAACACGTCAATTGAATTAATCTAAAGCCAGACTAAATACATCGCCTTTAAATACACCACAATAATTTTGAAATGTCATTGTAGTAATCAAAACAAAAATGGTAAAGAAAATAAATGTGCAACAAAACTTGTTAATCTAAATAGATATATGCTAAGATTAATTAATGTGCATGTTTCTACTAAAAACCATATCCTTAGACTTACCAGAGCAAGCTTCGTAGACTATCTACTGCGATAAAACAATAAATCTCTTAAGCTGTGGTGTCTCGCTGTCCCTTACTATATAATAATAATAATGATAATCCATAAAAAGTGGAAAAGATAAGAGCGAAACCATAGAACTGGCGAACGATAGAGTAATACCTATGTGATTCAAGTCCTCAAAGCGAATAAAATGGAGCTAGTATGGACAAAATAAGCTGGGGTAATAAATGGCGCAGAAATCAAAAAATGGAGGTCAGAAAGTACCTAGATCGAAAATTAAAATAGTGTTGCTTGCAACGCCAACATAAAAGAGACCCTTCCTGGAAGGAATTGTGATATGAAAACTGTTTTGGGAGGAAACAAATCACTCCAAAGACAAAGTGTTTTAGTCTGTGTACTATATATTAATATATTAGAGAGTCGGGCACATCATTTCGATGACGGTTGGTTTGACGTTGCATAAAACATATCACCTCATCACCACAAAAAAATACAACAAAAAAAAAGAAAAAAAAAAAGAAATGGGCTGTGAATTATAGTATGTATCAGTGCTGCCCACATTAGAAATGTTTCAAAAAGAGGCTCAATATATTTCATTAAAATAACTATAATGTATGTTTAAAGTAGGATATGCTAAAATTCAGAACAATGAATTAGTTAGAAAGAGAGTTGTAAACTCCATACTTTTCTA